ATTGTCCTCTATTATTAGCTATATTCAGTTGGCTGTGCAATTTATTATTTTCAAAAAGAGATCAGATTTACTCCACCATTCTAACTGAGGCTTTATACCCTTTGACTATCATCTCCTTTTTTCCTCCAACTCCCCAAGCCCTCTGGTAATCAGCATTCTACTCTCTGCTTCTTTGAATTTAGTTGTTTTAGATTCCACATGTAAGTGAGAATATATGGCATTTGTTTTTCTGTTCCTGACCTGATTTATTTAACAGTATAATGGTCTCCAATTCCATCCATGTTGTCACAAATAACAGAATTTTTTCATTTTACGGTTGAATAGTATTCCATTGTGTATATATACCAAATTTTCTTTATCCATTTATCTACTAATGGACACTTAGGCTGGTTCTATATATTAGCTATTGTGAATAGTGCTGCAATTTACATGGGAGAGCAGATATCTCTTTGACATACTGATTTCAAATCTTTTGGGTAAATGCCTATAAGCTGAATTACTGAATCATATTGTAATTCTATTTTGTTTTTTCGAGGAACTTTTATACTGTTTTCCATAATGGTTGCACTAATTTACATTTCTATCAACAGTGCACAAGTGTTCCCCTTTTCCACATCTTCACTGACACTTATTTTTTTCTCTTTGATAATAGCCATTCTAACAGATATGAGGTAATAGTTCATTGTGTTTTTAATTTGTACCTTTCTAATGATTGGTGATGTTGAGCATCTTTTTCCTGTATGTCTTAGTCATTCATGTCTTCTTTTTTTTTGGAGACAGAGTCTCACTCTGTCACCAGGAGCCAGGCTGGAGTGCATGGCATGATCTTAGCTCACTGCAACCTCTGCCTCCCTGGTTCAAACAATTCTCCTGCCTCAGCTTCCTGAGTAGCTGGAACTACAGGCACGTGCCACCACGCCCAGCTAAGTTTTGTATTTTTAAGTAGAGACGGGGTTTCACCATGTTGGCCAGGATGNTGTTCCTATGCAACAATTTTGCATGTTCTTCACATGTACCCCAAAACCTAAAATACAATAAAATAAATAAATGGGGAAAAAAAAAAGAAAAAAAAGAAAAAACAGCAAGAAAAATAATTATAGAATGTCAAAATTGGAGAGTAAGGAATAAGATGGAATAAAAATACTGTAAATAAAAGACATGAATATAAATTAAAAAAAAATAAAATAAAATAAAAATGTGAATTTAAAACAAACAAACAAACAAACAAACAAAAAAAAAAACAATATCAACTCTTCCAATCCATGTATATGGTATCTTTTTAAAATTTGTGTCTTCTTAATTTTTTATTTTTATTTTTTGAGATGGAGTCTCACTCTGTTGCCAGGCTGGAGTACAGTGACACAATCTTGATTCAGTGCAACCTCTGCCTTCTGATTTCAAGCAATTCTCCTGCCTCAACCTTCCAAGTAGCTGGGACTACAGATGTGTGCCCAGCTAATTTTTAGTAGAGAATGGGGTATTACCATGTTGGCTAGGATAGTCTTGATCTCTTGACCTCATGATCTGCCTGTCTCAGCCTCCCAAAGCGCTGAAATTATAGTCGTGAGCCATCGTGGCCAACCATCTTCATTTTTTAAATTAATGTTTTATATTTCTTGGTGCCTTTCACTTTTTTGGTTAAATTTACTTTTAAATACTTTATTTCTTTGATGCTATTGTAAATGGGATTGTTTTAAAAATTCCTTTTTTATTTTTATTTTATTTACTTTTTTGAGATGGAGTCTTGGTCTGTCGCCAGGCTGGAGTGCAGTGGTGCAATCTCAGCTCACTGTAACCTCCCCCTCCCAGGTTCAAGCAATTCTCCTGCCTCAGCCTCCTGAGTAGCTGGAACTACAGGCACGTGCCACCACGCCCAGCTAAGTTTTGTATTTTTAAGTAGAGACGGGGTTTCACCATGTTGGCCAGGATGGTCTCGATCTCTTGACCTAGTGATCCACCCGCCCCAGCCTCCCAAAGTGCTGGGATATCAGGAGTAAGCCACCGCACCTGGCCCATATGTCTTCCTTTTACAAATGTTCATTGAGATTCTTTGCCCATTTCTTAATTGGATTATTTGTTTTCTTTCTATGGAGTTAAGTTCCATATACATATAGTATTTTTTTTTTTTTGAGACTGAGCCTCACTCTGTTGCCCAGGCTGGAGTGCAGTGGTTTGATCTCAGCTCACTTCATCTTTTGGCTCTGGGGTTCAAGCAATTCTCCTGCCTCAGTCTCCCTAGTAGTTGGGATTAGAGGTGTGTGCCACCACACGTGGCTAATTTTGTATTTTTAGTAGAGATGAGGTTTCACCATGTTAACCAGGCTGGTCTTTAACTCCTGACCTCAGGTTATCCACCTGCCTTGGCCTCTGGAAGTGCTGGGAGTACAGGTGTGAGCCACCACACCCAACCCTTTTATATATTTTGGATATTAATCCCTTATCAGATATATGGTTTACAAATACTTCTCCCAATCCATAATTTATCTCTTCACTATGTTGTTTCCTTTGCTGTGCAGAGGCTTTTTAGTTTGACATAATCCCATTTGTCTATCTTTGCTTTTGCTGTTCTGCTTTTGGGGTAAAATCTAAACAATTATGGCCCAGGCCAATGCCATGTAGTTTTTCCTCAATCTTTTCTTCTGAAACTATTCCAAACAATACAAAAAGAGGGAATTCTTCCCAAATCATTTTATGAGACCAACATCATCCTGATTCCAAAACCCGGCAGNTTGTATTTTTAGTAGAGACGGTTTCACCATGTTGGCCAGGATGGTCTCGATCTCTTGACCTTGTGATCCTCCCACCTTGGCCTCCCAAAGTGCTGGGATTACAGGCACGAGCCACTGCGCCTGGCCAAAATTTCTTTTTTATATCATTTGTTGTTAGTGTATAGAAACACTGCCAATTTTTGTGTGTTGATTTTGTATCCTGCAACATTACTGAATTTAATTATTTGTTCTAAGAGTTTTTTGGTGATATCTTTAAGGTTTTCTATATGCAAGATCATGCCATCAGCAAACAGACAATTTTAATTCTTTTCTTATTTGGATAACTTGCATTTATTTTTCTTGTCTAACTGCTCTGGCTAGTACTTCCTGTACTATGTTGAATTAAAGTAGTGAGAGTGGGCATCTATATCTTTTCCCTGATCTCTTTCCTTCAAATTTCCACTACTGAGTATAAGGTTAGCTGTGCACTTGTCATATATGGCCTTTTTTATGTTGAGGCTAGTTAGAAGTTCCACTGTCAGCAGCAGCCGTTTGCAGAACATGCTACTAAGTCTCGTCTAGGAAGAAACTTGGACTTTTGAGTTTTATCCCTTTCTCTGCTCTGATCCCAGAGAATAAAATCTCTGGAAGTGCTTGTGAACCAACATAATACTGGTACTTTTTTCTGTGGTCTAGAGAGAGACTCCTGTATACGTAGTCCCCTCTGCTCCCAGATTTGGCAAGTTAAGTGCATAGCTGTGGGGAATCTTAGAGTTAGGGTGTTAATATGTAGTCTAAACCCTCATTTCCCCAGGGAGAAGCTGGGTGTTGGGGATTCTTTCTCAGTTGTATGGTGTAGTGCCTGGGTCATGTTGGTGCTGTAGCCTTTTCTTGCCAGTATGTGGATATTTTCTTTGTTGCTCAGTACATAGAAGTCTTTCAACTTGTTTCAGACTTTCTCTCAGAGGAAATTGATCTGTGAATAGATGTTTATTTCGTATATCCTTGGGTGTAAGGAGAGACTGGAGCCTCCTATTCTGCAATGTTGCTATTGCGATACTGAGAGTTGCAAATCTTTGATTCTGACTTATAATGTATTTTTGTCCCTAATTTACTTATTTCCATTTCTATCAATGAAAATTGTGTGTATACAAACAAGAAAAAACCAATTAACATGGCTTAAACAAATAATGTATTGATTTATTTCACTTACAGGGTGTCATGTTGGGCAGTGCAGAAATAGTACTGGAGCTCTGAAGCATCCTAGAACCAGGTGGCTGCCATTCTTGATCCCCACTTAGAACATGAACCTTCATCTTCATTATTTTTTTTTGAGACAGGATCTCTGATTGTCATCCAAGCTGGAGTGCAGTGGTATGAACATGGTTCACTGCATCCTTGACTTCCTGGGCCCATGTGATTCTCTGTATCAGCCTCCCATGTAGCCGGAACCACAGATATGTGCCATTTACTTGGTTAATTTTTTTTTTTTTTTAAAAGGAGTCTCACTCTATCACCCAGGATGGAGTGAGTGCAGTGATGCAATCTTGGCTCACTGCAACCTCCGCCTCCTGGGTTCAAGTGATTCTCATACCTCAGCTTCCTGAGTAACTGAGATTACAGGCACATGCCCTCACACTCGGGTAATTTTTGTGTTTTTATTAGAGATGAGGTTTCACCATGTTGCCCAGGCTGGTCTTGAACTCCTGCCTCCAGATGACCTACCTGTCTCAGCCTCCCAAACTGCTAGGATTACAGACATGGGCCACCACAACAGGCCAATTAAAAAATTTTTTTTAGAGACGGAGGGTCTCACTTGTGCCCAGGCTGGTGTCAAACTCCTGGGCTCAAGTGATCCTCGTGCCTTGGCATCCCAAAGTGTTGAGATTACAGGCATGAGCCACCACAGCTGGCCTTGTTATGATTCTTAAATACTCATGTTCCAAGGTGATGTCTATACCACTTCTACCTTTGTATATGTGTTTTAAGTAAAAAGGAGAAAGAGAAAGTACCATCAGCAGGTTCCTGCTTATATATCATAGACAGGAAATACGTTACATGACTAAAACAGTTCCAAGAGATACTGGGAAATGTAATTTTTAGGCAAGCCATGGATAAGCGGGAATGGAAAATGAAGTATTTTACATTCTCTGCCACATTGTGCAGTTGTTGTAGTTTTAATACTCCACTCTCTAGTTGCCAAATTTCCCTATCTTTAGAACAACCTGATATATTTTGGAATTTAATATGCTGGCAAACTATCAAATAATTAAATGATGAAATAATTTTTAGGAAAAGCACAATCAACAGTCTGAATTTACTACTGAAAACTTGATAGCCACTGTAACTGATGTGTTTGGAGCTGGAACAGAGACAACAAGCACCACTTTGAGATTTGGACTCCTGCTCCTGCTGAAGTACCCAGAGGTCACAGGTATGATGATGTATGGTGAGCAGGGTGATTTTCAGAAATGTTGTTGGAAAGACACTGCTATTGCTCTCCATCTTGTTTCTCTTAGAGAAGCTTCATTATTGAAATTTCCATGCCATTGGCTGTAAGTTGTCTAAATATGATGAAGGGATAAGAATGAGACAAATTTTCACAATAGGAAGAGTGACTAAGAGAAGTGAAAAGAGTGTGATCAGCAGCAAAAGTTGCAAAGCACTGGATTTTAGTGACAAATTACTCTGAATAAAGTGTCTAGATTTCATTGGAGAGGATTTGTAACAGGCACAGACATCACAAATTGGTCTAGGATTGTACGTTGGTTTTCTTAAGAACAGACCACTTTGTTGTGGTTTCATTTTTGAAATGAATAGAAATTTTATTTCACTAAAAGGCATGTTTACAAAATTCAATTTTCCAGTAGAACAGACCACTTTGAGAGATAGGTATGCTTTTTTTTTTTGACATGGAGTCTAGCTCTGTCACCCAGGCTGGTGTGCAGTGGCTAGATCTCGGCTCACTACAACCCCCGCCTGCCGGATTCAAGTGATTCTCCTGCCTCAGCCTCCCAAGTAGCTGGGACTACAGGTGTGTGCCACCATGCCCAACTAATTTTTGTATTTTTAGTACAGATGGGGTTTCATGATGCTGGCCAGGCTGGTCTCGAACTCTTGACCTCCTGATCTGCCTGCCTTAGCCTCCCAAAGTGCTGGAATTACAGGCATGAGCCACTGTGCCTGGCTGGTAAATTTCTATTTCTATAGACTTAGGGGTACAAGTGCAATTGTGTTCATGAATATATTTCATAGTAGTGAAGTCTGGGTTTTTAGTGTAACCATTGCTTGAGTAGTGTACATTGTACCCACTAGGTAGCATTTCATCCCTTACCTCCCTCCCCACCTCCCACCTTTTGGAATCTCCAGTGTCTATTATTCCACTCTGTATGTCTCTGTGTACTCATTGCTTAGCTCCCACTGATAAGAGAGAACATGTGGTTTTTGCTTTTCTATTTTGAGCCTTTTCACTTAGGATAATGTCCTCCATTTCCATCCATGTTGCTACAAAAGACATGATTTTATTCTTTTATATGCATGGTGTGTGTGTGTGCATGTGTGTGTGCGTGAGACACACCATAGACTACTAGATGCAGATTTTTACACTGCACACATATGATTTTAATCCAGTCATCTGTTGATGGATGCTTAGGTTGATTTTATGAATTTGCCTTTGTGAATAGTACTGCAGTAAAAATATGAATGCAGATGTCTTTTTGATAAAATGATTTATTTTATTTTGAATAGATACCCAGTAGTGGGATTGCTGGATCAAAGGGTAGTTCTATTTTTAATTCTTTGAGAAATACTATTTATTGAAGTGTATAGTGAATATTCTAGAAATTTGATGAGATAGCCTGAGAAAATCTGCATAGTCTGGCAAGTATTTTAAATGCTTAGGTTTATAGTAAAGGTATATGCTATTTAAGCACAAAATGTGCCTAAGGGAATTTCATTATCAAAATCTGCATCTAGAAAAATGGTGCTTGTTAATATTTTTTCTTAGGGTCAATAGTTTTATCTTTACAAGCAACTCTTTTTCTTCAAATTTCGTATTTATTTATCTATAAGCAGATTCTGGTTCCACCTAGCATATTAACCACGCTTGTTTTTCTGGGGTCAGAGTCACATTGAAATGATGATAAATTTATTACAAATGAGAATTGTTCCTGTTGGTTGGAATACAGGACTACAGGAAACAACCGTCAAGTCTGTATTAAACTTCTGAGACACACAGAGCAGGTAGAAGGCTGATAACCAATTTGGCAGGGAGATTGAAGTTGCAACCTAAGGGTCATAAGAATTTGTGTTGCTATAGTCCCTATAAGGCTAAGTATTCAAAAGAACAAAGACCCAAAGAACATAGAGGTAGAATGATGCAGAAAACAGAAAATTCTCCCTGTTTACATTCTCTCCACAACTCCATTTGTCAATTAATTGTTTTTCCCCACAGAAAAGGGAGGTTCACTCTCTAGAGAAACCGAACCTAAGAGGCTCACTCATGGAAAACAGACAGAGACAGGGAAAGAGTGAGGGGTTAAGGAAGAGTCCACTTGAATTCTAAGGCCTTTGGCTCCTTTCTCCATCTTGTTCCTAAAATTCAGCAGCTAGATGTAAACTCTGGAGAACAAGTAGTAGCACCAGTGAAAAGACCTCAATTTTTCACCATTTAGATAGAAAATTTTTACCAAATGTCCAGCAAAGTAAATGAAATGAAAATATTCATCCAAGACACCAGGCCATGGAATTTTAGAACATCAGAGTTAAAGGGAAAGTCATAAAAACATTCAGAGATATATTAGGTCACATATAAATGATCAGGAATCAAAATGGCATTAAAATTCTCAAGAGCAGCTGTTATCTTGTGTATTTATAGATAATATTTTTAGACCTGCAGGTTGGCAAAAAAATTGTACCCTCTGTGTTTATTTTTTTAGAAAGATACTGGAGGATATTTTCCACCCAAATGTCTGAAACCAAGTCAGAGACAGTCATGGGCTGCAAGCATTAGGAGATCTCATGTAGGAGGATGGAAGTGTCAGGGAGGCTGCTGGATACCAGGCATAGAAAACAAATGCCTTAGAATACACCAGATGAATAATGGAGGTGTAAGGGAAGACATCAAGAACAAAGAGAAGTTGATTTGTTACTTGTTTTTTTTTTTTTTTTTTTACTTTTTTTGATCTGTTAGTAGATCTATATGTATGGTTTTAAAACTTTATATATTATTCTCAAAAAACACTAATTTGATCTTTTTCTTTCTGCAAAGACAGTAATTTGAGATTATAATGTACTATTTATATTTTGAAGCATATTATCATTTATATTTGTACTGATCCTGTATGCTAATATGTAGGTGTTTACAGATTTATCTTAATTCTTAGCTTGTAGGAGAGTTAGATGTATCTATAATGTAATAATTTCCTAAGTCTAGGTGTACTTTCAGTCCTATAATTTAATAGTGATGTTGGGACCCCTTCATTATGCTTCACATAACCTGAATTTCTACAACAAATATGCCATTTTTCTCCTTTTCCATCATTTCTTACTTGTGTCTTATCAGCTAAAGTCCAGGAAGAGATTGAACGTGTGGTTGGCAGAAACCGGAGCCCTTGCATGCAGGACAGGAGCCACATGCCCTACACAGATGCTGTGGTGCATGAGATCCAGAGGTACATTGACCTCATTCCTACCAACCTGCCCCATGCAGTGACCTGTGATGTTAAATTCAGAAACTACCTCATCCCCAAGGTAAGCTTGTTTCTCCTGCACTACACCTCCATGCTCTTGAAGTCCCCAAATTCATAGTATGGTCCAATCCCCTAACAACACACAATGAGAGAAGTGTGAAAGTCATATTTGGGGCAGCTTGATGGACTCTGCTGTTTCCATTCCAATTTGGGCCTATGAAGGTTTATAACAGGTCTTAGTATCTGGCAGTGTATGGTCTTCCAAATATGTTCTGCTGCTTTAATAACTTTTTTTGTGGCTATTCTCAGGTTTTTACATTTCCAAATAAATGTTTAAAGTATCATTTTGTCAATTTCCCAAAACACTGTGCTGGGATTTTTATCATGGTGACATTAAAATCTTCAGATCAATTTATAAATAATTGAAGTCCTGACATGTTGAATCTCTCAATTCATGGATATGATTATGCTCTTAATTTATTTGGGCTTTCTTCTATTTTGTCAATAATGTTTTGTTTTCAGTTCAGTGGCTTTCACTGTATTTTTTCTGAAATAAATGATACTTTTGATGTAATTGTAAGTTGTATATATAATATATAATATAAATATATATATATGAAATAAACATATATAATATTTAAAGAACTATATTTTCAAAACGGATTCTTGCTATGTTGCCTAGATTGAGCTCCGGGGCTGAAGCAATCCTCCCACCTCATCATCCTGAATAGCTGGGATTAGAGATATGTGCCACTGCATCTGACTTTTAAATAGTATACTTTAAAAAAATGCCTTTCCATTTCTTTGTTTCTGGTATACAGAAATGTAATTGACTTTATTATTTTGATGACCTTACATCAAGCACATTTAGTTAGTATTGCTAATTTTTTGTTTGTAAATCTATTTGTAATTCCTATGTATTCTGTGATCTACTTTAATAATTATTTCTTATTTTTTAATTCTTATAACTCAATTTTCTCTGTATTGCTTTATTTCACTGGTTAGGGCAGTGTTGAATAAATAATGATAGTCAGCATCCTTGTTTCATATATGATGTTCAGGATGGGTGGAGGTTTAACATCTCACCAGTGAGAATGATGTTTTATGTATATTTTGCCACTAAAAAATCAGATTAGAGAAGATTGCCTTCTTCTCTTTTGATGATTTTTTTGGTCATGAATGTGTATACAATTTGATCAAATGGAGTCTCTGCATCAATTAATATGGCCATATATTTTGGTCTGCCTGTATATATACACATATGCATATAATATGTTAATTAAAATACACACAAATGCACACAGAGAGACATAGACAGCTGGGTTTTATTTGCTATATTTTTTCAGGATGTTTGAATTTACATTTATAAGAGACATTGGTTTGCAGTTTTTCTTCTTCAAAATTCAGATTTCTGATATTGAGGAAATGCTGGCTTCGTAAAATGAGGAAGGTAATGTTCCCTACTGTGTTTATTTTTATAATCTTTTCTCCCTTCTCTATTCTTGTGCTCACTTAGCTCTTTGGAGTTTTGGTCAAGTGCCAGTTATGACATATGAAAAAATGCACCAGAGCAATCAGGCAAGAAAAAGATATAAAGAATATTCAATTAGGAAAGGAGGAAGTCAGATGGTCTCTATTTGCAGACAACATGACTGTATATTTAGAAGACCCCATCGTCTCAGTCCAAAATCTGCTTAAACTGATAAGCAACTTCAGCAAAGTCTCAGGATATAAAATCAATGTGCAAAAATCACAAGCATTCCTATACACCAATAACAGACAAACAGAGAGCCAAATCAAGAGCCAACTCCCATTTACAATTGCTACAAAGAGAATAAAATACCTAGGAATACAACTAACAAAGGAAACAAAGGACCTCTTCAAGGAGAACTGCAACCCACTGCTCTAGAAAATAAGAGAGGACACAAACAGATGGAAAAACATTCCATCCTCATGGTTAGGAAGAATTACTATCATGAAAATGGCCATAGTACCCAAAGTAATTTATAGATTCAACACTATCCCCATCAAGATGCCTATGATCTTCACAGAACTGGAAAAAAAACCATCTTAAACTCCATATGGAACCAAAAGAGAGCCTGCATAGCCAAGACAATCTTAAGCAAAAAGAACAAAGCTGGAGGCATCACACTACTTGACTTCAAATTATACTACAAGGCTACAGTAATCAAAACAGCATGGTACTAGTATCAAAACAGAAATATAGACAAATGGAACAGAATAGAGGCCTCGGAGACAACACCACATATCTACAACCATCCGATCTTTGACAAACCTGACAAAAACAAGCAATGGGGAAAGGATTCCCTGTTAAATAAATGGTGTTTGGAAAGCTGGCTAGCCATGTGCAGAAAGCAGAAACTGGACCCCTTCCTGACACCGTACCCTAAAATTAACTCCAGATGGCTTAAAGACTTAAACATAAGACCTAACACCATAAAAACCCTAGAAGAAAACCTATGCAAAACCATTCAAGACATAGGCATAGGCAGGGACTTCATGACTAAAACACCAAAAATATTGGCAACAAAAGCCAAAATAGACAAATGGGATCTAATTAAACTCCAGAGTTTTTGCGCAGCAAAGAAATAATCATAGAGTAACCTGGCTACCAACAGAATAGGAAAAAAAATTTGCAATCTATCCATCTGACAAAGAGCTGATATCCAGAATTTACAAAGAACTATAAAAGATTTACAAGAAAAAACCAAACTCATTCAAAAGTGGGCCAAGGATATGAACAGACACTTTTCAAAAGAAGACATTTATGAGGCCAAGAAACATATGAAAAAATGCACATCGAGGGAAGATCCAAGATGGCTGTTTAGGAACAGCTCAGAGTTGCAGCTCCCAGAGAAAGCGCAGAGGGTGAGTGGACGCCGAAATTTTATTGCCCACGGACCAGGAGATTCCCAGGCAGAAGTGCCCCATGGGTTGCAAGCATGGCTGTTGTGGCCAGCGCGGTTATTTTGGTCAGTGCATCTGCTTTGCCCTGTGCGTCTGCTCTGTCGGCGCCCCGGCCGGCAGTTCTCCATACAAAATACACTGGTCCAGGTGCCCTTTTGGCTGGTGATTGGAGACCCGGGAAGTCGTCCATTCATGTGATTAAAGAGGGGACTGAACAGGAAGCCAGGCCAGGAGATTCCTGGGGAAAAAAAAGCGCCGTGAATCTCAGCTCCGTTGTTTAAGCTGGCGCAGTGAGTCGCGGCACAGGAAATCAAACAGATGCCAGCGCCGTTTCAACAGGCAACAGGGATAGAGTTGACTATTCAACTATAAAAAGAGAATAAAGGCTTGGAGACAGGGAGCCAGGAGATCAGGCTCGGTCCCACTCCCACAAAAGAACAGAAATCAGAAACTTTCTGGATTGAGAGTTTCACAGCAAGCGCAGCTGAACCTGGGATGATCCAGCTCTGTGGGGGAGGGGCGTCCACCATTATCGAGGCACTCCACCACAGGAACGCCATTGCTGAGGCTGCCTGTCATTGCTAAGGCAACCCACCATTGCCAAGGCAGTCTGCCATTACAGAGAGAGTTCCCCAATACACAGGCGGGTCACCATTGCTGAGGCAGTTCTAACTACACCCATATAAACAAGACTGCAGGGAAGTTCACATGGCAGCTGGGCAGAGCCCACAGCAGCTCAGCAAAGTCTCTGCAGGCAGACTGTGACCAGGCTGCCTCCTTGTTTGGCAGGGCAGCCCTGAAAAAAAAAAAAGGCAGCAGCATAACGGAAAGTCATAAATAAAGCTCCCTGGGACAGAGCACCTGGGAACAAAAAGTGGTTTATGGGTTATGCAGCAGCAGACCTAAACGTACCTGCCCAGCAGCTCTGAATGAACAACGGAGCTCACAGCTCAGCACTTGAGCTCCTATAAAGGACAGACTGTCTCCTCAAGCAGCTACCTGACCCCTGTATATCAAAAGAGTCACCTCATAAAGGAGAGATCAGACTGACATTTGGTGGGTATCCTTCTGGGACAAAGATAGCAGAAGAAGAAACTGGTAGCAACCCTTACTGCTCTGCAGCTCCTGCAGGTGATCCCTAGGCAAGCAGGGCCTAGAGTGGACCTCAGCAGACATACAGCAGAGGGGCCAGACTGTTAGAAGGAAAATTAAGAAACAGAAATAACTTCATCATCAACAAAGAGAACGTCCACTCAGAGACCCAATCTGAAAGTCAACAATCTGAAAGTCAGCAACTACAAAGATGACAGGAAGATAAATCCATAAAGATGGGAAGAAACCAGGGCAAAAAGGATGAAAACACCTGAAACCAGAACACCTCTCTTCCTACAAGGGATCACAACTCCTCACCAGCAAGGGAACAAGGTTGGATGGAGAATGAGTGTGATGAAATGACAGAATCAGACTTCAGAAGGTGGGTAGTAGGAAACTTCTGTGAACTAAAAGAACATATTATAACCCAATGCAAAGAAACTAAGAACCTTGAAAAAAGATTTGACAAAATGCTAACGAGAATGGACAAATTAGAAAGGAATATAAGTGAATTGATGGAGTTGAAAAACACAGTACGAGAACTTCGCGAAGCATGCACAAGTTTCAACAGCTGAATTGACCAAGCAGAAGAAAGGATATCAGAGGTTGAAGATGAACTCAATGAAATAAAACGAGAAGGCAAGATTACAGAAAAAAGGGTAAAAAGGAATCAACAAAGTCTCCAAGTAATGTCGGACTATGTGAATAGACCTAATCTACGTTTGATAGGTGTACCGGAATGCGATGAAGAGAATGAATCCAAGCTGGAAAATACTCTTTAGCATATTATCCAGGAATAATTTCCCAACCTAGCAAGGCAGGCCCATATTCAAGTCCAGGAAATACAGAGAACACCACAAAGATATTCCTCACGAAGAGCAACCCGAAAGCACGTAATCGTCAGATTCACCAGGGTTGAAATGAAGGAGAAAATACTAAGAGCAGCCAGAGAGAAAGGTCAGGTTACCCATAGAGGGAAGCCCATCAGACTCACAGCAGATCTCTCAGCAGAAACCCTACAAGCCAGAAGAGAGTGGGGCC